CCTTAGTAATAACTAAGAAAGACCTATCTGTGACTACTTTAAGCTGAAATATCGCACTTCAAGGATGATTAAGGAAATTATCATTAATTCTCTTAAACTGTTAGTAATAATTATAGGATCACCGTGATAGCCTGTATTTCATCTCTGCTCCATTTTTACATGAGAGTCTCCTTCAGCTTTCCTATCCCAGATGAGTCTTATGCATAGCAGATAAACATATAATGAGAAGCCTAGCTATATTAAAATAAAAATGGAGCATTAAGCTAAGGGAAAACCGACTCTAAGCTATCTTAAACAAGTACATGCCTTCATCTAAAGTCTAACAGTTACATAAATTCCTCATGAGCCTTGTAAAGTTCCACACACACATGCTAAGCCTCTCGGTCAAAACATCCTGGCTCAAGTTTGAATATAATCAAATATTTTGCGTTTCTAGAGCGCTGGGAAGTAGGAGGCCCTCAGACATAGCCAGGTCCTCTTCCTTCTGCTTTTCTCCCTCGTCACGTTTGTGGAGATCGTGGAATCCCTTATAAGTTCGACGCAACCTTCGCCAAAGAGCTGCACATAGTGTGTTTGGTGCCTAATGAGTGTAAAGAAAAAGTTAAACTTATGTTCCTGCATTAACAATGACTCAAGTGTTCTTTACAGAACTTCTGGAATGCCAAGCCCCTCTCCACTCCTAAAGGGTTTGATGATATCTGAGCCTGATATAATTATCAGAAGAGGAAAGACAGATCTCATGCACCGATATTGCAAACAAACCTTCGCTGCATGTAGGTTATCGAACTCAAATAACGAATGACGCAAAGGGAGTCGAAAAAAAGGCTGGAGGGGGTGCACCATTAAGGTGTGACGTAACTGATGGGAGACGTAAAAATAATCTTGCAGCGAACAACGAAGAAAAAGGCTTATTATTAGTTTATAACGTAATGTGAACTGTTAAGAGCGCAAAGTAAACGATATAGCAGATTTTTTATAACCGTGATATTATATTCGAGAACTGAAACCAATCAGTACCCACCTCGCCATCTTTAGACTGGGTGTCTTTGTAAGACGCATAAATCAGTTCCATGGACAGGACAATCAACCCAGCAGCCACGCCCACTACAAGGGTGATGAACACCCCAGCCAAATCACTAAACTGAAGCTGGTCACCGCCCTCCTCAGCAGCTTCCTGGGCTGCCTGTGTCTCTGCACCGCACACGCTGCGGCTTTTAAACCATTTCTCTTTCATGCGCTGTAAGAAGCCATCTTGTTGCAACTCCAACATGGCTACACTAAAGTTATGAGTGTAAAGTGAATTGCGAGGGAGAGCGAAGCCATAGTTGATACTACCAAATGGTCTGTGGAAGATGGATCAAAATAGATTTAATAGAGACAATTCTTAGATTAAATAGAAGGAGGGGGAAGGGGGGAACGGGAATACTCAGAATTGATCCACTTGCGCATGCCCTATATTAGACGTCTGTGTTTGCGTACTGATTGGAAAGCGCCATGACACAACCATGTTCAACCTAAGAAATTTCCATATTTACCTTTCGATAAGAGTCAGTGTGTTACACGGTTCTTGTTGCACGTCATATTCAAGTACTGCCGAGTCCCAAATGAAGGCATAATTTTCCGTGTTTCGCACTTTTTCAATCCCAGCTGTATGATTCTTTTCCAGTGTTCCATGACGCTCGATGAAATCCCATAGTTTCTCGTAGACTGGGAGCTTAGCCTCTCTAGGAAAAGGAAATAAGGCAATGTTGGTTTATTTAGTTCACTGGCATCTGAGAAAAAGAGAGAGTCTCCCCTACGCAAAACTTTTTTAGTTCTTGCTAATCGTTGCTAGGCGATTAGCTTCTCATTTTATGATGCTTTGCGAGCAACGAGCTGGGTTTAAGCATGATTGGAATCTTTTAGAGGAATTGGAAAGGCA